TATACTCAGGTTGGGATGAGGAAATGTAAAGGAACCTGGTCTACCATTATTAATCAAAAAGGCAAAATGTTATTTTGTATGTTTCATCACAGAGTAAAATGTTTTCAGGTTTACAGAGGAAAAAGTTCTGAGAATATGTTTGAAATGCTACCCTTGGAAGTAAAATGCCTATGTGGACTGTAAAGTATGACCTCCCCTTCATTCCCCTTAGGGATTCAGGCTGTTTGTTGTCTGTTCCTTTTAAGGCAAGATTTTAGGAGTTTCCCATTACAGGCAAGCAGGAGAATTCCTCTCCATGCTAATATAGTACCCAATAAGCTCATGCCAGTGGCTTATTTGGTCATCATTACAGTAGTTCCTAAATATTCACATATTTATCTTCAGAGTACCTTGTGAGGTAGGGAAGAGGTACTGCTCCCATTTTGTGTCTGGAATGAGGCTAAGTCCTCTTCCCAAGGTTGGTTAGGAGATGTGTAAGAAATGCGGGGCATAGGAAGGAGGTATTCCCTGTCCCAGGGTAGTCCCTTAGTGGGTCAGCCTTCCTTTCTACAGGAATATGGAGCTTATCCAGGACCAGCAGCACAAACGCTGCTTGTGTGTTTGAAGGAATTATGACACAGCCCACCTCTTGAACTGTGTTGCACTTGGGATATGTCCTATGATCTCGTGTTCCCCTGCCCCTTGACTCTCTAACCTCAAAAAGCATAGCATCCACTTTTCCAAGCACTGAATTATTTTTATCTTATGAATGTAGTTAGCTAATTAAAACCTAGAGTACATACTGTGTTTCTACCATCCTTGGAATTTCTGATGCAAAATTTCATCACTTAATGTGATTATATGGGTGGTATTTATACATGTGACTGCACTAGACTCCCCGCTGTACTGCTATGCAAATTAAGGGCTTTAAAGAGACAGCAGCTATACAGTGAGGTGTGTGACACGTCAGAAATGGTGCTCATGCATGAGTCATGAAATAAACATTTCAAATGCCATTGAATATATTTAATTAATAAGATGGGCTGGTAAAAATGAGAACATTAACTAATCATAACCCAGAATAGCCTGGGTTGGAAGGGACCTTAAATATCATCTAGTTCCAATCCGCCTGCCATGGGACATTTAAAAATATTCTCAGATTTATACAATAAGAAACAGCCCAAACACCACAAAATAAAGTAAGTACTTTCACTTAGCTGAAGTCCTACAGACAGTCTAGCAACAGAAAGAACATTTGGATGGAAATATAACTAACCAAGGATTCTGCAAATATTTCAGCTATAAAAAGCCACAGAAGTCCAGGCTTTGATGAGTTCTTGAGACCATTTTATAAAGAATAAAGGCATTTACTAAAGCTAATTCTAAAGAAAGATACCTCTTCTGACTTGAACAGAAAGATTTGGTGATAGAATGTTTCTAATCACAATTCTAACACTTCTGAAATTAAGAATATGTGTAGAAAGTACAGATCCTGCATAAAGATGGATTGTAAGATGCTGACAAACATTCTCACCAGCAGACAGGAAATAATCTTCTCAAGTATTAAACAGATGTATCACTTTAGATTAATTAAGAACAAGTTCATAATTATGTTAGTTCCTTTATTTAATTTCACTTTGTTGTAAATGTAGAATTAAGACTAATGTCAGCCTTTTCTGGATGTAGCAAGAATGATTTTGATAGATTGGGATGGATTGGCTAAATCTAAACTGTTCTCCATACTGTAGCCATCTGAACGTAGGAATATAACTTCTCTGTTCTAGAGTTCACACTACAACTAGTACCAAAATCAAATTTGCATGCATATAGGAGAAAAACTCCAGCAGTTAACCCCTCTTTTTTTTTTATCCCTGGTATTTTAACCTGAACTAATTTGAAGTCATCTGCTACATCAGTTATAAAACCGTTTTATAGGTAAGTTCCACCTTTCTTCCACATGACATCAGAGTGACACCACAGTCAAAGTGATCTATACAGTTGTAACTTCCAAGATGGATCTACCCTTACTGTAGATAGTTTATGTGTTACATGTGATAGAAAATAAATCTTTCTGGTTTTGTGGCTTAAACTATGGAGGATTTAACAGACTTAAACACCTTCACTGGTGTCCAAGTCATAGGGAGATGGGGATCATAGAATCATAGAATATTAAGGGGTTGGAAGGGAACCTTGAAGATCATCTTGTTCCAACACCCCTGCTGTGGGCAGGGACGCCTTCAACTAGACCAAGTTGCTCAGAGCCCCATCCAACCTGGGCTTGAATTTCATTGGGACTTAAATATTATTATTGATTTCATGTGGGATGTTGTCGCCATGTTTGGAAGTGGTAATCCTAGCCTATATGGAAGCATTAAGTGGAATCTTTAGCTCTTGAAAACTGGAAAAATACCAGCCCTTTCTTCCCTCACAAATGGACAAATTCAAACAAAAATATGAAATTACTTACCTTCCCCAGCAGCTGGTTAATACCTTTAATTTCTTAGGCAATAATAGGACAAGGTTGACTGGGGTAACTTTTAGGTCTGACAAACATTAAAAAGATATTTCAGATCTTAGCAGAATAGCTGGCAGCTTTAGTAGATACCATATTTGGTTACGAGAACAGTAAAACAAAGGATATGGTTATTTTAATTTAAAACTGGACTTGAATGAGATCTAATGAAGGAAGATAGGTCAAATTATAAATTTGTGTTAGTGATATAAAAATAGGACATTAATAGCTGTGCAATTATGTTGCTAGTTTTGATCTCTATTTTCAGGTGAATTTTTATCGATGAAAGAAGTGTAAAATATCTGAGTATAATGGGATGACATGACAAAGGAAGGGGAAAGTTAGATATGCTCTGACTCCCAAAAATGACAAGAGAAAGTGAATATTTCATTCTTCTAAAATGAGCAGTTATTCGAAGAAAGACAGAAAGATATCCCTGTGTGTTGCTTTTTCCCCAGAGATGAAATCTTCATTAATTAGATGTATGGATTCTTGCAGAGGTCATCAGCTGAGTGAACATAAATGTCTCTGACAGAGGATTGAAATGTGAGGGTTTTAAGAAGCCGTGTGTCACCGACATGGTAGATCCTATTCTGAGACTGAAAAAAATATAGGGGTAAATTGAGCAGAACACACAGAGATGTGTTGTCAGCTTATCTTCATCTGACTTTGTTTGCTTAAGAGCACATGAAATAACAGTCTTTTTAGGTATAGGATCCACCTTCCGCAGAAGTCACATCAGCCTGCAGCCAAGTCATTTGACAACTCTGTGCTAATGTCTTTCCATCTGTAAAATGATTATATTAACATTTACCTACCTCATAGTGGAAGCTGGAAGAGCTTAATTAACATGTGTAGTTATTTAAAGCTCTTGGATTGAAAGCTGCACTAGGGATCCAAGTTATTTGTTAATATTATTATTTCTGTACCCAGATGATTTACTCACGTTTGCAAAGTGCCAGCGTAGAAACCTACTGGATGTAACACAGTATTGGAAAGTTCATCAAGTGAGAAGATGAATGGCGTAAACAATAGTGCTAATTAGCAGGGTGCTTTGGAAGATCCAACCATCTTAAGGCTTTAGTGCAACTCTTTGGCAATATAGAATGTAAATCAGCTTCAATTTATGATTCTATTAGCTCCAAAACCACTGAGGAACAGAAAGCTAGAGTCTGGACAGATCTGGAATTTCATTTCAGCAGTATGCAATCTCATTTGGGCAGATGTCACAACCTCCACCTTGGACTGAAAGCTCAGTGTGAGCCAGCAGAAAATACAATTTTAATATGCTGGATAATAAGGCAAATGCTGTTTTTTGGAACTTGTAGCAAAGACACCTGCTGACAGTTGGCATTGAAGGCAAGACACATTGCAGAGGCAGAGGCGAAATCTGATCCTTGTTGAAGTGAAGGGAAGTTTTGCCATTGAATAAAAAAATGCCAGATGATTAAGTGTATCTACAGGGTTATGGGTAGTTCATTAAATTTTTATACACAGGCAGATATCCACAATATCAAATAATGGGGATGCTGAGATACCAAAGAAATATAATTAGCATAATAAATACCTACTAGAGAAAAAAAGAGAGATCACATCTTACATTAAAAATTGATTGATTTCAGAGTTTGATATCATCCCAAACAAAAGTCATAAGCCAGACCATTCAATGATATTGGTGGTTGGTGGAAAGCACTTTTCAGTGCTTAGATGGTTTGTAATTTCTAGTGGCAAATAATTGTCCAAGAGTCTGGGGAGTAGAAAGAATTCCCGTGCATTCCCTTTATGCATCAAGTAAATTGACTGACTCCTCTTTATATTTTTGCAAATCCATGAGCTTTGATGGAGATCAGAAATAACTTATGCAAAGCAAGCTCTGAGGAGAACCAGTTCTAGTTTTTGTTTATGTATTTTGCCAAGTGTCTCTTTCTTCCTCTGTATTTTAGTATTTAGTATTTAGTCTCCTGTGTCTAAATTTTTTTCTTGAAATTAAATTTAAAAAATGGAAGCTTTAATAACCTGCCAATAAAACCTCTGCAGCTGAGTCTGTTAAAACACCCATGTTTGTTCTTTAAGGGGAGCAAATTTGCATGTGGGTTTTTGAGTGTGCTGGGAGAATGTTTCTGTTGAAGTAATTTTTTCCACTGAAATCCCAGGGTGCTTGCTCAAGAGCCTGGTTTGACAGATGAACTTTCTCAAGCTGAAAAAGTTTAGACTGGCTGTGTGTTTCCAGTGTGTGTATCACTGGCCCAACACACAGACACGTGAGGTTTTCATGCAAAAAGACAAGAGCCTGATACCTTATTTCAAACCATGCACACTCAGGCATCAACCTGTAGCAATAGGCAGCCAATCTGCTATAATGTACTACAGGCTGTAGTACATTATCTGCTATAATGTACTACACTGTGGTGTAACTTACACTCTAGGAAAATATAACTTTCTACACGTGAGAATACAAGCCTGAAAGGGTCAGGTGGAATAGTCATGCAACTCCCTTCCTGCAGAAGGGTCAGCGGCAGGGACTCCCCCTCCTGGTGCTTCAGGAGTCAGCTAAAGCTGTAAGTACCTTCTGGGCATGACTGTGGCTTTTGGATTCTCTCCGTCTTTCTGCTTGAAGATGGAAAGGTGCTGGAGAAACTATCTGCTTACTTGTACTAAAATCCGGGATTTGGAGGAACTCACAGTGACCAGGCAACACCATAGCATTTATAAAGTACTTCCATGTTGGTGACTAAAGCAGAATGAAAGCTTGTGTTCACATGACGAATGGAAATTTCTTCCAGAATGACTATTGCAAAGTGATCCCATCTCCACAGTGAAGGCACTAGACTGAAGAGTGTGTTGCTGTGATTCCTCTGGAAATGCAGCAGCTGCTGTCCTGTCACAGTGAATGTATGGCAGATGAATTCACCAGTACAGTTTCAGAGAAAAAGTGGTGGGTAACTGGTGCTTAGGAAAGCATAATATGGTGGTTTGCAGTCCATAAAATGGGAGAGAAGAACCCTGTGGCACCTGTTTTCTTCCTCTAATGTAATTGGTGGTGGTAGACTTAAAAGGTGATCGTGTTTTAAAGGAAAGTGTAACTATAATCAAATGTCACTTTGCAACATGCATTACATTGCGTATACAGGTAACACAGTTCCACCTGCTTGTATCTGATGCAATCACATCACATGTCATAATGTCTTTTAATTTTCAACAAGTACTCTGTTTAATTTTTTCCTGCTTTATAGTATTTTCTTCCTAAATCTGCCTCTAGATCCTGTAATACTCTTAACATATCTGCAAATCTACTACAGTAGCTACTTTATTTAAATAACAAGACTCCCCCTTTACTGAGGAATTAAGCAACCCTTGTTGGCAGCAGTCTGGTAGAGTGCTTAATTCTGTAAAGGTTGTGCAAAAGCCAGGCTAAACTATTGAAAGAATGTTTAAAAAAAAATCAGAACTGAAGGTTTGCTCTGTTGCAGAGCAAATAAACTTGCATTAGCTCTTCAAAGCAGACCTCATTGTTCAATGTCTCTGAGGCACTGCTGCTTTCTCAGCAGAAATGCTTGTGATTTCAGTTTGAAAAGTCCTCCGACTTTTTTTCACTGCATCAAACTGTATCAGCAGAAAACTCTGTGCTCTACATGACCAAGAAAGCATTCTACAACATTTTAAGTCTGTCTTTACAGCAGAAAACTATCAGAAAGTGACATGAGGAGATTATCCCTACTTGGCCCAAGTTAGTAGCCTACACGATGCTGTCGCTTCTCTCAGCCTAAGCAATTCTTTGATTATTAATTAATCTCAGTGCCTCTCATGAAAGAACTTGGGGAGTGATCAGTACAAGGTCAGTGTGAGCAAGAGGCACAAGGTCTTTCTTTAGGTCTCATGAATTGCTGTTGCTCAGCAGCAAGCTGATACTGCTGATATATGCAGCCCGATCTCATTCCCACTCAGTGGAAAATCCTGTGAACCAGTAGTATAATAAGAAATGTATCTGAAGGTGTAAACAGCCCACTGAAAACAGCATTTGGAGGTAAGACTACTGGTTTTCAGTTACAGTTTAAAAACAATTGGAAGTGGGTATTGCTTCATTTGTGAGCATGCTGAGGTACCACAACTGGAGAAAATGAAATGATGTCTCTGTTCTCAACAAAATGAAGTGCCTAATACAGCTAATTTTGTAGTAATGCTGTTTAGAGCTGATCACTTACAGCCACAAGAATTTCTAGGATAACTATGTTTTGTTACCACCATTTTAGAGTTAGGAAAACAAGGGAAATTGGAAAGAATCATTTGCCTGAAGGTTCCCAGCAAGCCATTGGCAGTGCTAATCTTTAGGTCTCATGACTTGTTGCTTAGCTCTGTGTAGAGGCAAGTATCTCTTTGCACAGAGATGTTAGCAGCCCGATTTCATTCCCACTCGGTGGAAAAAGTCCAATTCGTGTCAATTTGTACCTTGGCTTAGGTCACAACTAGACACTAAGTAACAATTTCTTTTTTTTTTTGGTATTTTTCAATTCTGTACTAAAAAGCGGACTGAAACTTTATGTTTATAGTGTAGTTAACAAATTGCATATACATATCAGATTACTATACATGCAAACAGGCCTCGGCTTTTTCATTTTCCAAGAATTTCAGTAAATTCCTCATCTGTTGATATGCTGATCAAGCTTCATTACCAACATTTATATAAAGAGAACACATATAGATGATCTGTATCAAGTGATATATATATGTTACCAAGACATATAATTTTGAAGGTGCAGCAATTTTGAATTTACCATGCCTCGTTTCCTATTAATATATTCTAAATTAAAAAAAAAGAAATCCTTAGACCCTAGTTCTCTTTCCCCATCCTTTAAAAAAAATTGAAAGCCACCCTTTGAAGGGCTGGTGGTGTCAGATATTAGGGCGTTAAGTTGGGTGTCCTGGGTTTAAAGTTGTTAATGTCTATCTCATCTGTTCTCTCTTATCATCTTCAATTTGTCAACAGTGTGTAGTCAACAGTGTTCGATTCATTAGAAGTGAAAAAAGGATGGTGAAAGCAAGTAAATATGTCAGTTAAACCCCACAAGTATTAAGTCACCTCAATTTGTTTGTCTGGTAAAAACTGGGCTCTCACTAGCTGAACTGAGGCCAGCTTGATTCACCATTAAAATGTGAATCTGGAACTGACATTGAATTTGCAGATGTGCATAAGAGAAATCCCTCGAGTTTTGAAATAATTGACTTTAAGGAGAGGCAAGAAGAATGTAAACAGCATTGTTAAGCAGACTCAAGGTAATCAGTTACTGTCATTACTGCTGACATCAGTCTCAGTTTGACATCATGTTGATTTTTTCATTATTTTGTCTAAATAAAGATTAAATTATTTTTTCAGTTCACTTAGATTACAAAAATCCAAGACATTTCTGAACAATCTTCTTGCTTATAAACAACAAAAGGAAGTGATATCATACATGAAAACAATAACTAAGGAGTGAAGATTTTGTGTGTGCAAAAATTTTAATTTTAGAGCTTTCAGGGGAGAATGAGGTACAAATACTGAAGGAAAATCAGCATGAGTTGGCATGAAGAGTGCTGAAAATATCAAACATATATGAAAAACCCCAAGCATCTAATTATATGCTGTGCTTGTAGAAAGGGTTCTCTAATTGTAAATTTGGGCTTTTGGAGGCGATCATAAAAACAATGCTGTAGTGAAAAAACAGGACAATGTCCCTCTTTCTTGCCTCTCTGTTTATGTAGGCTGTCATCCAAAGCTGTCAAAGAATCAAGCCCTCTTAGCAGAGCTCTTCCAGGTGCTTTCTGTCTAGTGAAAGTTTACATACCGTCAGATTCAGAAGTGCAATGACTACAATTGAATTACCTATGTCCAAATTCATTATGCTTCTGTTCTCTGCTATTCATTTGAGCCACAGAGCATCTTATGGGTCATTTAGATACACAACAGCCCTTCTAATGGGAGTGATGTACTTAAAATGTCAACACAGACTAACTTATCTGGCTCATATTTTCTCTCTTGGAATGCAAGACTTAAAATAGATGCCATTGTAATATTTGGCTTTGATTTAAAGACCCATCTGCTGATGCCTGATGGAAACATTTTTAAACACTCCATTTAGAGATAATTTTGGTCATATGGTATAGATTTCTTTTAGTCCTCTTTCTCCATCTTAAACCAGCAGGAAAAAAAGGATTTTGTCTGATTAAAATTTCTGTCCTTTATTTTATTAATGGCTCTAGGGTGCTGTGACTTCCAGAGCAATCAATGATGCTGTCACAAACAGAAAATTGCACCTGGTTTTTAAAAGCAGCAAACATTTATGTCTCACCTTCCTTTTTTTAGACAGTAACTCTACTATTATACCTGATACAAATGATGATAACATGCCTAAGTTTTGAAAAGTGTCTAATCCTGAATTTGAGACACTATGAGGCAATCTTGTTCTCAGAAATGTGTGGTCTGTACTTGGTGAAGGTTGATCGTGTTGTTCTGTCTCCAGTTGGTCATTTGGAAAGCCAAACATACAAAATCACTCTCTCCTTTGAATGTGTGTTCCAGTCATCTGATGTGTGTGGAATTTGAAGTAGCTAAATATGTGACCACAAACTGAATGACGGATTGCAAGAACAAAAATTGAAATCAGTTTTACAAATTATCAGTGATTGTTCAAATGAAAAATAAGTTACAATCTGAGATCTGAAACCAACCTAAAATAAGGATTGCTAAGGAATTCTGTAAACATAAGTCTGTCTTTAACAAATTCGATCAGTTTTATTATCACTGTTAACAAGATTGTGGCAAGTGGTCATGAATTATGGAGATTAGCCAACAGAAAAATACTGTCTGGAGTTAAAAAAACAGTGAAAGCTATGATGGCTAAAGGGATATTTCTACTTTTACCAGAATGATGCCTAAAAAAATTTAGAAGGAAAGAAGCATTTTCTACAAAAGAGAAAAAAAAAGGTCAAATATCATGTAAATAGGGTACAGTTAGAGAGTGTGGGCCTTTTACTTTTCTAACAAATATTCTAAAAATTCTTCCATTATTGACAGTGCTGCCTGTCATGCTGGGAAAAGCATTATTTGAGCCCTGAGATATGTTATAAAGGACTTTGGTTATTTAACCCATGGGATGGGGAAAACAAAACTTGTGATGCTTAAAAAATAAGAAACAGAAACAAGAAACCTCAGTTCTATGTGCCTTTGCATTTATCAGTCATCCGGTGGACTCCTCTCAGCAACCTCAAGCTAATGTTGGATTGATATCAGATCCTTCTAATCAAAATGCTCCTTTTGTGTGCATCTCAAGCCTTCAGCCCACACAATGATTGCTTGTTTTCTTTATGTTTACAAAATCCTTTAACAAGATATGTAGAGCTCAGCCAAGGAGCTTTGGCCAACATTTTCCAAATGTCATTGCCTAAAGCCTGGCACCTTTTCAGAGGCGCTGAGCTTCAAAACTTTCTAGAGACTTGGAGAATAAATTGTTGTGCTCAGCATTTTGTGGCTAAGCATGAAATTAAGCACCTTAGTTCAGGCACTCGGTATTTTCTGTTAGGGTTAGGGACTAGATATTACAACACTGAGCTACAGAGTTTCTATCATATGCATACATGTTAAGGTGAATGTTTAGGTTATACTAATGATCTGTGATGATGACCAGAACAGTAATACGTTATGAACATATTATCCACATTATATGTGGATAAGACTAGCTTGTCCTGCAGGTATTTTTGCATTCTATCTGTCTTCGGAGGAGATTGTAGGTGCTAATTATCTGTCAGGAATGAGTTCATGCATGAGGACATGAGTCCTCCATGCATGAATTAATTTCTGGTGGCAGAAGGAGCGACTTGCCTTAAGTTTGATGACTTGGAAAAGTTGTTTTAGGACCATAACTGTTGTGTGAACAAGGTTGGTTCAGGGATCAGCGTGAG